GGAGTACAGCGTTTTTCAATTTACTTATCGTAAAATTTAGAAGATAAATCGCAAAAAATACACGGAAGAACAGTAATATGTAGAAAAAAGTTTGGTTATGTAACAAGCAATACATAACAGACTAAAGAAATGTCGAAAATTTTCAAAAGAGTAAGAGGATTACAACCGAATGCAGAAAAATAAAAAATTATATGTAAAAAGCAGGAGGAAGATGTAAAAACTAATTTTTACCTGATGATAAGGAAAATAAATTGAAAAAGTAAAACATTTTAATTATCCAGATTATATCTTTAAAAAATCATGGAGCATCGCTGAAAGAAACTTCAGGCAAAATTGGAAAAGGAGAACGTTCTTTTTTGAGGTATTAGTAGAAAGTACAATGTGTGGATGGAAATTTGGGAATGGAAGGAAATAAGAAAGATAAAAACTAAATAAATAAAATGGACCCAGAACTTAATTAAAACATGTCAAACAATATTTTGCATATGGAGATTAAACGCAACAAAACAGTCATTAAAACAGCAAGTAAACATGAAAAGAACATAAACAAAAACTACGAAAAAGATAGAATTTTTAAAGAATTTCTTAGAGTAAAGAATGAATTGGTGATCGAAAGTAGTAAAAAAGTCTGCAGAAAAGACCAATGGAAGAAAAGCCGAAAAGATTTGTTGAAAGACAAGGGATGGACCGTGAAATTTTACGAAGATAAACAATGAAACAGAAAAAACAAATGCACCAAATTAATAGATCATTAAACAAACTTAGAATTACAATTAAAAAAACTCAAAATACGTCATTCAATGTACAGAAATTATACAAAAACAAAATTTTTCGAAAAAAGATGACATTAAGGTTAGAAGGAACTTAGAAATTAATTCTAGATGTACATTGGGTAATAAAACAAGAGTATTTATATTACAGTTATTTATGTACACAGTAGCGCCAATCAATCACTTAAATTACTTCTTATTTACAATATGCTGTATTATTAATGTTCATTTACTCGTTACTATATTTATATCCCTCGGTATTCACCTATAACTCGCCTTATCTCCAACTGCCGTCCTGAAGTCTATTTATCTTGCTATCGAATTCTCTGGAAGTCTTCCTTCTCAAGATTTCGGGAATTTTTATTGTTCAGCAGGCAAAAATCCGTCATTTAAATGTAATTTATTACCCTTACCCGAAAGGTTGCCAACCATTGCCGGTCACTGCCAGCGGGCATGCTCAAAAGTTGTCAATAATCAATATATTGATTATCACGTACATGTTTGTACGTAACACTGTCTCCTCCTTAAGAATGATCCGGTTCATTATCCTCTCTTGAAAAGGCCATCGGTCATGTCGATATCTGTAGTTCTAAACCTTTTGCCATACGGACGTTGACTGGGAGTAACAATCCACGATCTTCAATTAGACGAGTTCTCGTCATGGAATGTCGGTGCATACAAAAACATCTACCCCCACTATACCGGAACAGAACCTCTAACATGCTTCGTACTACCCTCCAGTTCAGCTCATCTAAACCACATTTTATTCTTGGTATGGTTAACTTCGTGGAATTAGTAGTCAACACCAAAGAATCCGATTACCGTCGGTTTGAGGGTTTCCCAAATCCTAATCTTTGGTGGCAAGGTTGTAGGAAAACAGTTCCCATCCGGTAGATTTAACACTTTCCTTCCATCTCCTAGCTGGTTTTTCAGCTCAGGCAGTCGGCCAAACTTTTTTTTTAACACTACAGCTATTTTGCGGACTCAAGTCTGCAGCTACATAATGAGCCACCGAGTATTTCTTAGGGGCAGCAAATACATCATGGGGCCTTCAAATTTGATTTTGGAATACAAGCTCGGTGTAACCATGAATTCTTCATACAGGGGATCTGAATATCGAGCCTGTATAATTCTAATCCGAACATATTCATAGTTGTCGGTAGCATATGGAGCCAATCAGTTGAAATGGACGACTTATGGTTTCCGGTTTTTCATTCGGTACACGTCTAATCCGATTGATGACATCATTTACACGCTCGATGATTTTGTATAGACCATTCCAATCCTGTTACAGCTTCTTTGGTCATATACTCCTCATGTGCTGTGGATTGTATGGTCACGTCGGGTTTCCTTCCCGCGGTCGCTAACTATTTACATGTAGGAACGTATTTCTTCACGAATGCTATCAATTAGTTTTCGGAGTTCACTAACGTAATCTTCTCGAGCAACAGCCTCACTTAGTTTACGGCTAATTTCTAAGACGCATGGTAGTCACAGTCCCAAACCAAACAGTACTATTAAAATGTCATAAGAAACAAGGGAAGAAAAATATCGCAATCTCTTTAATTCCCTAGGTACTTGTTAATGACACCGTTCATTCGCTCCATCATTCTATGGAACTGAGGATGCTGATGTGTAATCCAGATTTTGTTAATTCCCAAAACCTTACAAATGTGCTGGAATACGACGAAGTCGACGTTTCAGTCCCGATCAAAATAGATCTCCATTGGTATACCGAATCGACTGATCAGGTATTTAACGAATTCTTCCTCTACTGTTTGGTTAGGCTGTCCACCCATTTCGTGAGGTAATCCATTCCCGTTCTACTTATGGACCCTTACTGGCCGTGCAAATCGTGCATTTCCTACATCAATCTTCAACGTCCTTCTTGCAATTGATTCAGTAAAATCGCTTACGAATCTTTCCAATCCTAAAATGCGCTTTAAAAAACCGTTATGAAAGCACTGCGAGACTTCTTTCGTCAAACTTCGTGGAATCGCCAGTTGATGTTTGCTTTCTTTCTACCATCCGTTTCCTGAGACCAACGCTTCAACAACAGAATCCCAATGGGCTTCTTAATGACAAGTGTAGAAACAAGTGACATCTCGATATTCTGCAGAATGACGAAATTGCGTGACTGTTTTTCTATGTGGACGCAGATAAGAAATCTTTCTAAGATAATGTGACAGAAGTCGCCGATTTTCGATATCAAAAAAGATATAAAACAAGGAATAACGCAAAGTTGAGTGGCTTTTAACAAAAAGAAATCCTTTCTGTGCTGGCAAAATTCGGAAATGATGAGTGTCTGTACAGGGGCGAAATGGGGATAACGAGGAAATTTCGAGTTGGACGCCTTTGATGATGAAAGTATTGCGGTTACAAAAAAGTTAGAAATAACGAAATATTGGAAAACGTAGTTGAACAAAGGGTGTTATGAATTATGGTATTCAATAAGGAAAAGAAGAAATGGGATGGTAAGACATGAAGGGCTAGTTAAGTGTAGATATATTAAAAGAAGAAGCAGGAGCAAAAAGAGACATAAAAATGGTTAGATGACATGAGATGTTCTAGTTTTCAGAAATCCTAAGGTGGGCTCATGGTAGAACATCCTTGTGAATGTGATTAAATAAATCTCTATCTAAATACATATACTATGGTAACGTAAGTATATTCAGCAGTTTCACGTCAGTTTAGAAATACGTCTTAGAATAATTCAAGTATATCTAATTACACCTATAAACATAGAAGAAAAATAAATGGCAGGATTTAAGATATGCGCTCATATAGTAATTTTTAAGAACATCAATAATTTTAAATATGATTATTCATCAGACAATAAAAGCGAACAATTCTTTATTCAATGTAGCAACCATGCAAGTCATTTGTTTTATTTTTAAGCTGCTGACTTCTTTGGATGTGTACTTACCTTTCTTTCCTATGCAAAGAAGGCGTTAACACAACAAAGTACAGTGTACATACTATATATAAATTAAGCAGCTATTATTAGGTAAGTTATATTTTTAGCAGCCAATTTTTTTACTAGTCCGTCAGGTGAAAATAAAATTAATACACGTTGGTTCTTAATTATGTATTTACGCGTATTTAATTTATTACTGATAAGTGATCTATGTACTAGGTTTAAAGATACAGTAGAAGCTTTGTAACTCGAAATCTTATCTAACTCGAATATTTTTTGTTTTTAACACTTATGCTTTAATGCAGGTACGTCGTCGGTAATGTAATATTTACGCAGACTTTTAGTTATACGAACGAACAGAAGCCAAATTGTTAATGCAAATATGATATCGATCGTAAACGAATCCTAAATACTTAGGGCATACTTTAAATCCGCAACGATTCATTATGTACACCAACTGTTTTCTTGTTCTTATGGTTTTTTATTTAAGAGGGTTTAAAAAAAAAAAAGAAATATTTACACAACTTAACTGCTTCCATAGGGTACATGACTGTTTTTGATAGCCTATGAATATTTAGAAAAGAATACTACATACATTGTTGTCTATTATATTTATTAATTTTTATCAGACGCGAGATGGTCATTTAAAAAAGAAGCTATTGGGATCCGTCAAATGGGCATACACCATCTCGTGGCAAAATTTATAACTCGAATGAGGGAAAATTTTACATAGGAACTGTGCACGCAAATTCTAAAATTGTTTATTAAAATAATAAAACACGTTAAAAAGTAAAAAGTTTTTTGANTGGGCGCGGAGATCATAATGCAGCATACTTTCCGAAGACATTATTACAACATATCAGGGCAAGGACATTAAGCAAACTCCAATCTATCATAAATCTACCTAATAACCTTACAATAACCTCACTAATGAATGTACATCTCCAAACCTACCCTAACCAAGCAATAATCGCACTAGAATCGCGTAAACTCAGATAACTCTAATTCTTAACGTTAAAAAAAGTAAAGCATGTGAATGTGCTTTATTACAAATAGGTATAATACATACCTATCTAAATATTTGTTATTTTTAAAGAAAATACGAAATTTCGAATTTTTTTGTTCATCTGCCTATTTTGCAATTTAACAAAAATTATTTCGCATAAGTTGTTTATCCTAATTACTATTTTACGGAATTTTCTACAACTGCATAAATTCTTGTAAAAAATAAAAAGAAATGTTGTCTTCCTATGTATTTTTAAAATAAATACTCAATAAAAATACTTAACAGCTGATGTAAAACTAACGCTTACCTGGAAGTGCAAAATGATAGTCCATATAAGCCCCAGTGTTAGTTTTGGATTGCCATCAACAATATCTTCGGATCTTATATTAACTAATCTTATTTTTTTACATCGTAGAAAATGAAGTGCCGTATCAACATTGTGTAACATATGGAATCGCATCACACCCCTTTCTCTTGGCTGTAAATAAAAACAGAGTTACACTTAAATAAAATATTTCTATACAGTATAAAATATTCGATATATGGTAATTAACAACACCCTTTTTAGAACCCATGTAATTAGTATAAATTGATTTAACGTAGACTAAAAACGCTAAAATAAGAATATATACGAAAAGACAATTAACATTGACATTTTAAAGCTCCTTGAATAATTTTTATTAAAAGAGAATCAATATTTATTTTTCAAAATCGTCGAACCAATGTACAATCATTATTAGTAATGAGACACTTTGAATTTTTGTAGGGTTAAATTCAATGCATCAATGAATTAATTTTTGAATTAACTTAACCCACTGCAGGTATTTTAATTAATGAGGCAAAATGAGGGAGTGACAGCAGCAACAATTTTTTTTCCGTCAATTTGAGAATAACAATCATAGATAATGACATTTTGTGCATCACATTTAGGGGCCATCCATAAATTACGTCACACGTTAAGGGGGAGGGAGGGCGTCGATGAAGTGTGACATTGTGTGTCAAAGGGATGGGAGGGGTCCTAAATTTTGAGACGTCACATTTCAAAATTTTCAACATCTACGTAGTAAAACACGAACTTCGCAATATTAACAAAAAACTTAAAAACATTTGCAACGATGATGCTGTATGGTTAGATGAAACAGATGTTGACACAATGAATGTTCCCGACATTAACAACCCAAACGAAAACGAAGTGGCTGCTATGCCAGTTGTAAATAACTTAAAGGGGTGGCTTTAAAGTCCATGGGCTCAAGATGCTTAAGTTTTCTTTAATTAATATAAGTAATGGTTTTTTTTTTGTATATACGTAATCCTAAAATGTAGCATCGTGCTACAGATGGCGTTTACTGCGCCATTTGTGGTCTTTTCGTTTTTTTTTTGTTAATTTCTTGAAATGTTAATTTTATTAAATAATTTAAATAGAAATAAAACTAATTTCGGAGCTGCTGTTTTAATTCAATAATTTCTAGATGTAAAAATTGCAAAATATGTGAATGTGACGTCACACTAGGAAGAGGGGGAGTCTCACAAATGTGACGAGTTGTGACAAAGAAGGAAGATTTTATAGATGGCCCCTTATCTACTTGAATATTTTAACTGATTTGTTTCTAACAATTTCATATTGAGTAAAAAAAGTTATAATGGTGTCATAAAAATGATTGCTAAATATTATGCTAACCAAAATAATATTTACTAATTTTACCGGTAATGTTAAAAGTAATCATTGAGTGATTTAATAAAATATAATTTAATTTTTAATTTCAATTAAATGTACATGTACACACTCAAAAGATGCCGATACATTAAGGGATTAAGGGGATTCAGTAGTATACGCGCAGTAGAGTAAAAACATGCTTATCGGTTCTAGATATCATGAGTTTAATGTTTGAAACAGAGATTTGAAATTTTGCAGTAAGTTAGATAAAACTTTGTTCTAAAGCTTGTCGAAGGTCATTTTTTAAATTTTTAATTTCTATTGAAAATGCGTGTCCTACAAGAAGCATCAACTTTAAGCACTTGTAAAAGCTTTTAATGACCATATATAATTGAAAACAAAAAACGTATAGAGTTAGTGTGAACCTTTGTCTGTTACCGTACAAAAAATCAGACATTTATCCAGCAGCATTAAATTACAATGTTTAGAATAGAAACCCATGTTTTCGGAGAAATTCGCACGAGCGGTCTACTGCAGTCAATCTTAATAAATGACACCAAATCTTTTTCTGTTTACCGATTGCATCCGCGAATAATGAAATTTTTAACCGCGAATACAAGAACTACAAGGAAATACACATACAAAAGAATAAATTGATTGTTGATATATTAACGCAACGAATCAAACCCCTGGGTCTAGAGAGCTGAAATTTTGCACAGACGTTTGTTATATAACCTAAGTGAGCACTAAGAGAGGATTTTTAAAGGTCAGCTCCAAAAGGAATGAAAAAGAAGTTCAAAGTTTGATGTATCGATCAAAGCACAGCCCAAACAGCTGAGACAGGAAGGTTTAAATTTTGCACAAATGTTCTTTACACAACGGTATTATTCACTATAAAATAAATTTTCAATATACCACCCCTAAAAGTGTTTATTGCATCGCGCATGTCACAATTGCTCACATGTCGCAAATGAAGCATAAGTTTATTTTGAAATTTTGTACTTAGCATTAATTAATATTCACTTAACGCTTTATTTAAAATAAAATTTTAAGCAAGAAAATTTTTGCAGTAATTTTTTAACAGAACAACTTCGCAACAAAGAAGAGTATTATAAAATCCACGACTTATTTGAATAAAAATTCGATTTATAAGAGATAAAAATGCATTTACATTTGAATAAAATTAACTATAACAATGATGTTCTGATTGTACTTACAAGTTGTTCGCCAGTTAAAACTTCCAACAGAGAAATTAGGTTATGGCCATCCCTCAGATCTTCGAAAAGATCTCTGATCTGTCTGTTTGCCTAAAAAAGAAAATAAATTATTTTTGGAGATGTCAAGACTACTGTTAGGAAAATAGGTGTTTGATTTTAATATACAAAAAGAAAACAATTAATTCAAAATGTGGCTGATGAATTGTGATTGTGACCATCTGTTGATGATATAAAATGGTACTATAATTTTTTCGAAACAATCTAAAAACCTGTTTGTGACAATAGTATAAACTGTTCGAAACCTTAAGCATCAACATAAACAATTGAAAAATGTGCGCAACAAGTGGACCTTTCGCAGTAGTAATTTTTCTAAAATTGGAGGTAAAATTAAATATTCTGCACTAAAAAGGTGAAAAATTTTAACGTCTTGTATACCTCAAAATTTTTTAAAATTGCGTTTATTATTTTCCAAATCACATCCCTCGGACGCTTGGAATTCATTCGATATGGATTGTTATATTACATTATATTAACTTTGATTTTCGATGATGTAAAAATTTAGACACCCTTGAGATTCTCGTTCCAAATTAAAAAAAGGTGATGTTTTAAAAATTTTTCGAAAGAACGCTTTAATTTTTTTGAAAAGAAAAATTACAACGAAATAAATAAACACAAAACTAAAATTTCTGTTAAAGCGGATTTTCACCCTGGTGAAACCTTTCTTAAATAGAAGATAGGTATATCTCATAAATAATATATGCAAAACAGTGTACCAATTACAAAATACCATTGATTCTTAACAGCAAAAAAAAAATTAAGTTCATGCAGTAAAACCTTAAAGGGGCTGTCTATAAATTACACTGGATTTCATTTATTACGACTTTGGTTAAAGCGACCATTTTACTTTAGCGACGTTAAGTCTAAGTCCCCTGAATTTAAAGCATGCTTTAGTACAAAATTCATGCGGCTATAGCGACTTCGGATGTAACGCCGAGTTCGGGTGTAGCGACTGCTTTTTAATGAATCGTTTACAACAAATCTCTATTAATCCCATGCAGATATAGTTACCGGAGTCGGGCGCCAAAAACTTTCTTATCTTTTGATTACATCCACACAGATAGTCAGCAAGTGTAGTGACCATTACCGTTTGTTATTGTTATTAAGGCAGGTAGATAGATAAGCGTGTACGTTAAAATGGTTCAGTTACAAAGTGATATTCTGAGTAGCAACTGTGTTTAGTAAAGTTTTGAATAAGTATTACTCCTAGATGCACATTCACTGTTAAAAAAAGGCGGAAATCGTTTCAAAATTGAAAAATGGTGAAAACTAGCCATACGTATCTGTATCTCTTTACGTTTGTCTGTAACGACTTCCGGATATAACGACGAAATTATAGTGGTCCCTTCGTCGTCGTTATACGCGGAATACACTGTTAACGCAAAATTAATCAATCTTCGAATCAACCTCCCCCTAGATAAGATCGTAACAGCTGAACTGATCCTCTTTCCTCCCCATTACGTTAGAAAGATTTTTTAATTTTTTTAAACAAATAGTTGCAATTTTTTATTAATCTTAATGTGTGATCTGTGTCGGCTATGAATGGATTTTCGCTCCATTTTTTCACTGAGCTGCCAACTTTTCTAGACCTTCTCTCCCCCAATTTGCATTACGTAATTTATAGACAGCTCAAAAGTGTAATTCTAGTCCATTACACATCACTGTTTAAACAAGAACACGCATGCGACATTAAACTTACGGACGGTGGACAACAGGGAGAATTGTTGATTGTGACACAAACGTGCAGACAAGTATAACTCTGAAATACATTATCTTTTGTAAAACAGTAACTAATTGAAATAAATTACACAATACATTTAGTAACACACAAAAGGTTAAAAATTATATTGCAAATGGTAAAAGATGCAGACAGTTCCTGTATTCTTCAGTTCAAAGTAATTAATGAAAAAATTTATATTTATAAATAATTAGTGTTGTAACGATTACGGTTAATTTACGGATTTTAATTTTATACGGTTTAACCGTAATTCGTGATTATTATTCGGTTCCTGTACGGTTCGTTGTGTAAACACCAAAGAGGAGCAGACAGTCCTTCGAATGCAAATGCTATGTTTTCTAAATAAAAATTTGACTGTCGTAAATTTTGAAATTGTCGTAAAAAAATCTGTTAAATGAGTGAGACGGAAAAATTATAGGAATATCCGTACAAAGAAAAGACGCCGAAAATAGTCTTAGTTTATCAGTTCTTGTAACTAGTGTCCGTCTTATTAATTAAAGAATTCTTTTTTGTTAATATAAAATGATATTTTATTTTTTCAATTCAAGAATGTCATTATATCATCAGATTAATAATAGTGAAATTCTTTAAATACCCTACCAAACTGCACATCTGACACCGTTAATTTTGACTGACGCATAATTCATCATTAATTTTGGTACTGCATTTAGTTTTAAAATATTACTCAATACTTTCATTTTATTTTATAGTTATTAGAATGCTTGATTTTGTTTTATACAGTAATTTACTATTTAACGATTACTAAACGTTATCTTGAAGAATAAACTGTATTTACTCTATTTTTCGTTATTCTTCAATTTTTTTTGAATAACCGTAACCGTAAGTCATAAGCGTTGGATCACTACTTAAAAATAATGCACATTAATAAAATGTAGTAAAAAGTTAAGTTATTCTTCTCTGACTATTATACATTAATTTGAAATTACAATTTTCAGCATTTAAAAGATGATGCCTACGTACAATTTACAGACGTAAATCCAATTTTAATTTTTTAGTTTGGCTTTTTTCCTTATTATTTATTTTTTTTTAATTAAGAATATGTCTATATCAAGACTTTTATAATACAATGGTCGACTTCCATTCTAGCTCAAAATATTTCTGCCTTCTTACGTGTTAATGTTCATTATAAGAAGCAAAGACCGTAATATGACTACATTTATACGTGCATTTATTTCTAAAATGTCAAATTTGTCATTAACAAGCCATTATTCCTAGTTTTTATTGTTACAAGGATCACATGCCAGTAATGTTTTAAATTCAGAATAATAGTTGTTGCTACCAACTTGTTCAGCATGTATTTATATAATCGACTACTGAACGGTATTTAGAACGGATTTCAATCGATGGGTTGTTTTAATTATATGTATCATATGTTTCAAATAATTTCAAAGGTATGCTAATAGGTATTTATAAACAACTGTTCAATGCATTGTTTTGGATTTTCAAATCAAGATGGAGATTTTACAGAAATAATACATTTGATCATTCACTCACCTTCATGTACTTCCAATGCTGATAAGCATGAAACAAAAAAGATATAAGGTGGGTATATCATTTTATTTTCATTTAAATTTTATACAAAACAGAATACTTCACAAAAATTTTAATAAACA